GAAGGAAGTTTGATCCCTGTACTTTCGGCCGTGGCCATGCCGGGGATCTGTTCAAGAAATGACCGATGACCAGGCTAGAAGGCTGGCTAGGTCCCCCAGCTAGGTGCCAACTTTTACCGTTTCTTTTTTTGGGCAGTGTTCCCTTACTAAAGTAGACTACCGAAACAAGTTGGTACCCTTATTCTATCCTCTCTACTGGAGGACCTAGCAGGAATGATTCGGCATCTTCTAGTTGGTTCTACCTCAGTTCATGGTGAGGTGGTTGAAAGGAACACCAAAAGCAACAACTTCAACACTTTGGCCACTCGGATGTACTTCCATTTGCTTAAGACTATTTTGTTAATTTCCCATGTTGGTTGAAAAAGGAATTTATCACTACTGGATTTGTTTTATATTTTTGGAGCTCGGACTCAGGACCGCTCTTTGAATCGGCGCGGGGAAAACGCTGGCATTCCGTTCCGGGTACTTGGCGGCATGTTTCTTGTCAGAAGCCATTCAACTCATGTGGGTGAGTTGTCAAAAAGACATGGACCGGGAGTCTCCATGACCCTTTGAAAATGGGTCAATGATCCGATTATTTTGGGTAATGACACCATTTTTTAAGGGTTATGGAGACTCCAGGGAGCGCTTTTCGGGATTCCCTTGACAGGGCGGCGACTTCGGTGTGCGAAAAAGGGACCATATGTTTATTCCCCCCTTGAAATCCCGGATCTTCAAGGTTCAACTGCCTGCTGCCATTGGTTTCAGGTGAAGAAGCAGACGGCCGCCCTGACCAAGAGGCCGCCCAGACGGCCGCCTTAACAGCAGCACTTGTTGTTTTGGTGGTTTTGTTCAACTCCAACCCCTCGAGTTTGGTAACCCATGTGATTGGTCGTTTGGATTGGTGGTTTTGTGGGTGATTGCTTGGGAGTTGCATTCTTGTGGCTTAATTTGAAGAAAAGCTTCAAGCCGCCGGGCTCCAAGCACGTTTTGAGGGAAGCTGATTGAGCCGGAGGCTTTTGCGGAGGCTCGGAAATCCTTGGGCAAGGGAATTCCAAGAGCCGTCCAATTCCAAGAAAGTTTCAGGATCCATCTCGGTTGGTTGCCTCACCCGCAAGAAACACAGGGGTAGATGTTAGCCATAAGGCGCAGCCGTTCTTTAAGTTCTTTACCATGGGTTTGGGATAGACAATTTCTGATGCCAGATGTTGATTAAATATAACTCCCCGCAGCGGTGTATCCACCGGGGCAGGGACACGGATATGAACAACTGAAGCCCTTTTTTGGACATTTCCATCCTAAAGGCTCCACTCCCACCCAGTTCCCCCTTCCCCCCTCCCCACTCCCAATTCCCAATTCCCTTTCCCACACCCAATTCCCCCCCCCACTCCCCACACCCAATTCCCCTCCCCCCCCACCCACTCCCCACTCCCAATTCCCTCCCACACCCTCCACGAGGCTCACTGACATGGAGTTCGAGAACATGAGGCGCCGCTGGCGGAGTTCGTCTGAGAGTTTCTCATTCACAGCCGGAGCCCTTCGACGTCGGGGGGGGGGGCCTGGTTTGGACCATGTTCCGTTTTTCAAGGGACCTGTTGGTCCCAAACGTCAGATTCCGTGTGAAAAGGGTGGAAGGGTAATCCATTCCCCCATTTCTTCTGGGAAAAGAAGTTTGCTCAGACACAGAAGTTGTTTGTCCCAGTGCTTTCAGGTTCAAAACACAAGGGGAAGTCATCTATGGTAAGGGGTACCTGGTCCAGGTGTGTGTTTTGCTTTGCTACCATACCAAGGGTTGGGCAGTGGAAATATGTTTTCACAGTTTTTCACGGGACGTATTCGTTCGGGTGATGGTCGCACTAATCACGCTATCCCAGTGCTTCCAGTTCCACTACAATGAAAAGCAAGGTGTGCATTCCACGAGGCAACCCCTTGTTACCTAGTGTGTTGTGGCTCGCCTGCAATGGGTATGTTTGCCCTTGTTGGTTTGAGTTGGAATCGATCACTCCTGGAGATATATCTATGTTTTTTGTCCGGGGGGCGAAAAATGCAAGCGGATAGTTGTGGCGGGCTTTGCCTGTCGCTTTTCCCCAAGCCCTTTACACAACCAAACGGTCCTTTGCCATTGGCCAAAACTTTCAATTGGAAGACCCATACTTTCTCCACGGGCACACCCCATGTTTGGGCCCTTCAAAACTTGCTTGGTTGTTCCATGTTCCAGAACCATGCTTGTGTTTCAACCATGAAACCACCTCCCCTGGTTTTATTGAAACGTTCCCAGCACCCTCTGACCTCCCTTTGGGCTGCTTTTTTTTGTTCAAGGCCGCTGTTGTCCCAGATCCTGGACAAGCGAAGGCGGTTTTGTTCAAGAGGACCCCCTCCCCCCCCCTCGCATCAACCCCCTCCCCCCGCCCACTGCCATTTGTAGATGGTTTCAATCCGTTTTCGGTAGAAGGGAGCTGGTGGCAAAGGTCAACGGGAAGGTTCCCGTAACCTTTATTGGGATGGACTTGCTTGGCCCTAGGACTTGGGTCAAATAAAAATCTCTTTGGAAGGGGATGTTCCAACCCCCCACTCAGGTATCAGCCGAGCTTTGGGTTTCTTTTCTAGGTCTCCCAGTAGTGCCCTTTTACCAACATTTTTTGGGGAGGGTTCCCCTACTAACAAAAGTATACTACAGAAAGAGAAAATGTTGGTACCCTCTCTACTGGAGGTTCTAGTCCTATATGTCACATAGGGCGGTCGAAACATGAAACAGAATCTGAACATAGCTTTGGTGTACCATGGTGTACCCTGGGCGTGGGCGTTTGCCAGATTGCGGTTGCCAGTGGTGGCCGTTTGTCAACCTCTGTGGGGGAGGGGGCGCTGCCCTCAAATCAACACCCACCAAAAGGCTGGCTCACCTAACCACAGCTACTGCTTTGTGCCGAACATTGGGCGTTTCACCAACTGATGTGCAGTGGATATCCATGGTCACCAACAAACTGACCATGTTTCACCAACAAATGGTCAAAAGTGATGCAGCTGGACTGGGCGTTTTTTGCCGTGAAGAGCTCCCTGAACTGGAAGCCGTTGTTTCAGTTGAGTCACTTGCTCAAAACCTGCTGGAGGTTAGGGGACAATCCCAAGGCAGACATGGCGGCGGAAGTCCGCCGTCTGAAAATTCTTGAAACATGGTCCTGGGCCCATTTTAATACCGAATCGGTTTTGAGTGTGACTCAGCAGGCTAAAGAAGCGCGTCGCGATCCTCTCCATCGAGCAGACGCATTTGGAGATGCCTGGCTGAGGGCGTTGCGTCGTTGCGTGGGTGGTCAGCCCGCAGCCATGGTGATAAGAGCACTACGCCTGCTATACTTGTAGCCAAGGTGCAAACCTACTCAATCCGCTACGTTTATTTATGGGGCGGTATGGGCGGGGGCACGTAATCTAGGTCCCCCAGCGAGGTGCCCTTTTACCCTTGTTTGGGGAAGGCTTCCCTATTACTGGAAAACCTAGTAATAATGGGGGGAAGGGATGAACTAAGCAGGTTGAACACCTAAGCGCCGACAGGACAGGCGTTTTTTTGGGCCCGAAGTGGATCGAGCTCTTGCCAGCGCCTCCCAATCCTCCCAAGCCCCAATTGGGGCCCCTTCTGGGGTGTTGGATGCTACTCCCAGAGGGTCCAAGGACCCCAAATGGTGTTGGCTTTTCAAGGGGCTTCGTAGATTGCAGATTCCTCAAATCCCCCAAATATAGGGCACCAAGGGATTTTGGTCTGGGACTGGGTCGTTCCTCTGAAAAAAAGAGTTGCAGTTGGTTCGAATTCTGAGGATTCCTAACCCAGTGGATCCGAGTTCAGCCCCGTCCTATGGTCACCCTTCGCCATTTTCCACTTGTTCACTCAGGGTGGTGCCCCTGGCCGACAAAACCAACAAAATGCTTTCAGGGGTCAAACAAATAATATGTGGCTGAAAATTAAAGAGCTAAGCCGCGGGTTTTAGTCTTTGGTTCCATTTGCCAAGGTGCCATTTTGGTACATTTATTTGAGCCACAGCCATATTATGACCAAGTCCTGCAAGTTGGTTTCAGGATCGAGAGTCCTGAAGTCAGGTCGGGACGTAGCAAGAGTTGTGGGCAGGGGGTACGTGTCTTGTGTGATCCTCAAAATCGTTTGGTTCCTCTTTGGTTTCCGTTTTACCCATTCCAAAATAGGTACCCTCACAAAGGAGCACAATCCTTGCGGGAGTTCCCGTTCGGGATTTGGAAAGGATCTTGGAATCATTTGGAATCCGATAAAATTCGAGGGCAACGCTTTGAGCCACCGACCTGCATGCCACAAAACCTCCATGGTTGACATCTACTGAATGTTTGGGAGGGCTGAATACTCCTAGCTCAACTGAAGACCCTGGGTGACACTGATGACTCTCACATAGGGGTATCCCTTTTTCCCAGTATGGAAGAGTCCAGAAGGCTTTTGGAACACTGTCATCATCTTGAAGAGACACCTCCTGTCCTCCTTCATATGCTTAGAGGGGAACTGTTAGACCCATACACCAAACTGCCTGTTCACCCCAGACCTCCAGCGCTAGAAATAAAAGCTATTCCCACTTGCTGGAGGTGTAAATGCCTTTAACATCAACTACTAAACGAGTAAACATGTGTTGAATAATGGGGTTGCGGGGCACGATTGAAGCAATTCATCTTATCATGAAACACACATGTGTCGTGTCATGAGATGCTGCCTCTTCATATTCATATCTTTTTGTTGGAGGATACCCTTTTGAGGTCGCCTATGTTAGACACACCCATAGATGAACTTGGTGGCTCCCTGCCATCCCCTTAGCTTTTTAGCTGTTTAGGGTTTAGTGCTTTGGTTTCCGTATTTAACCCGCTAAAAGTTATTCACCTTTAGCGGGGGATCTGAGCCCAGTGAAGCTACCAAGATCCCCAATTTTCTGGCTCAATGTGACTCTGAAGATCTTCTTCAGCATATCAAACGTGCCGCCGCCCAGACGCTCCATTCGCCATTTTGGCTCATCCCTTGGAAGATCGCGGCTTGCCCCTCATGGCGCGGGCGAACGCGAGACGGGGCGGCCGCGGGGGAAGCCGCAAGGCGCCTGAGGCCGAAAGCACAGAGGCGCCGGCGGTGCAGGCGGGCTGCGTTTTTTTGTTGTTGTTTTATTATTTTGTGTTTTCTTCTGTTGTGTTTTCTTCTTTTGTGTATTCTTCTTTTATGTTTTCTTCTTTTGTGTTTTCTTCTTGTGTGCTTTATTCTTTTGTGTTTTCTTCTGTTGTGTTTTCTTCTTTTGTGTCTTCTTCTTTTATGTTTTCTTCTGTTGTGTTTTCTTCTTTTGTGTCTTCTTCTTTTATGTGTTCTTATTTTGTGTTTTCTTCTTTTGTGTCTTCTTCTTTTATGTTTTCTTCTTTTGTGTTTTCTTCTTGTGTGCTTTATTCTGTTGTGTTTTCTTCTTTTGTGTTTTCTTCTTTTGTGTCTTCTTCTTTTATGTTTTCTTCTTTTGTGTTTTCTTCTTGTGTGCTTTATTCTTGTGTGCTTTCTTCTTTTGTGTTTTCTTCTGTTGTGTTTTCTTCTTTTGTGTCTTCTTCTGTTATGTTTTCTTCTTTTGTGTTTTCTTCTTGTGTGCTTTCTTCTTTTGTGTTTTCTTCTTTTGTGTTTTCTTCTTTTGTGTTTTCTTCTTTTGTGTTTTCTTCTTGTGTGCTTTCTTCTTTTGTGTTTTCTTCTTTTGTGTTTTCTTCTTTTGTGTTTTCTTCTTTTGTGTTTTCTTCTTGTGTGCTTTATTCTTTTGTGTTTTCTTCTGTTGTGTTTTCTTCTTTTATGTTTTCTTCTTTTGTGTTTTCTTCTTTTGTGTTTTCTTCTTTTGTGTTTTCTTCTTTTGTGTTTTCTTCTTTTGTGTTTTCTTCTTTTGTGTTTTCTTCTTTTGTGTTTTCTTCTTTTGTGTTTTCTTCTTTTATGTTTTCTTCTTTTGTGTTTTCTTCTTTTGTGTGTTCGTCTTTTGTGTTTTCTTCTTTTGTGTCTTCTTCTTTTGTGTTTTCTTCTTTTGTGTTTTCTTCTTGTGTGCTTTCTTCTTTTGTGTTTTCTTCTTTTGTGTTTTCTTCTTTTGTGTTTTCTTCTTTTGTGTTTTCTTCTTTTGTGTTTTCTTCTTGTGTGCTTTCTTCTTTTGTGTTTTCTTATTCTGTGTTTTCTTCTTTTGTGTTTTCTTCTTTTGTGTTTTCTTCTTTTGTGTTTTCTTCTTTTGTGTGTTCGTCTTTTTTGTGTGTTCGTCTTTTTTGTTTTCAACTTTTGTGTCTTCTTCTTTTGTGTGTTCTTCTTTTGTGTGTTCTTCTTTTGTGTTGTCTTCTTTTGTGTTTTCTTCTTTTGTGTTTTCTTCTTGTGTGTTTTCTTCTTTTGTGTTTTCTTCTTTTGTGTTTCTTCTTCTGTGTTTTCTTCTTTTGTGTTTTCTTCTTTTGTGTTTTCTTATTTTGTGTTTTCTTCTTTTTTTTTCTGTTGTGTTTTCTTCTTTTGTGTTTTCTTCTTTTGTGTTTTCTTCTTTTTTGTGTGTTCTTCTTTTTTGTGTTTTCCTATTGTTTTCTTCTTTTTTGTGTTTTCTTCTTTTTTGTTTTCTTTTTTGTTGTCTTTTTTCCCTTTATTCGAGTAGTAGCGGAGCTGGTGGTAAGGGAGCTGGTGGTAAGCTATAGGTCCCCCGACAATTGGTGCCCGACCTCTCACCGTTTCTTTTTTTGGTTGGGAGGGGAACCCCCTACTAAAATCGACTACAGAAGAAAATCGGGTTTCTTGATTTTAACCTCTCGACTGGAGGACCTAGAAAGGGAGCTGGTGGTAAGGGAGCCTCACTTCCTGAGTGCCTGGACTTCAAGCTTTCTGGGGCTGGACCATAGTTTAGTGGTATATAGAAAGCTTGGAGTTTTTTTTTTCCAGTGCACTCAGGAAGTTAGGGCCTTCAATAACATATTATGTTGATTTCCCCTGGGCGCTAGCGAACTATGGGTCGGGAGGATAACTTATCAAGTCCTTTCAAAGGAGTTGACCTCGGGGTAAGTGAGGGACAAATCCAAGGTGTCACTTGCCGAACATTTGAGCAATTCCCAGACGACATTCGTGCTCGTTTTTGCTGGATAGGGCCAATTTAGCAGTGTCAAGCGTCCACCCCGCTCCTAGTGCCTGGAGGTTTCTTAACTTAACGGACCCCTTTTAAACTCTTGAGTTGGCGCTGGAGGCGAAACTAAAGGAAGCCCTTGAGGAAATGGACCCCCATTTCCATGTTCTGTGCGGGGAAAACATAGGGTTCCCCTCCACCCAAAAGTTGGATGTCGCACGCCATCTGGGAGTGACGCTCCTGTTTGGAGAACACTCCATTTAGCACGTTTTTGGCGCATACCTTCCAACCATTCTTTGACAGACCCAGGGAAAAACCGGATCCGTTTTTTCTTTTCCACGAAAAGAGCGGCGGCGGATAGAAAAACATTGGGAAATCAGTGGTCCAAAGCCGTCCATTGGACCTTTTGGATTTCCATAGTTCATCCATATATTTAGGCGAAGTTTCGCAACAATTTGCGAGTTTTTTTTGTTTTTTTCATCTCCAGTCCCTTTGGGCAGAGGGAATCAAGCCCTGGCTTTGAATCAACCGCTCTCGGTGTGGTTTGGGGAACCCCAATCCGAAATCCCGAGCCCACCGGGCCACCAAAGGGGAAGTCAGGGAGAGCTGAACCTCGGATGCAGGCCAACCACCGAAACGGCAAGCTAAGGGATAGCCAGCCCTACTTGGTTGCAAAAAACCAACTTAGTAGTTTTCATGGCCATGGTTATGGGTGTAACTGAGGCGAGTATCGCTTCTAACCATGGTTCATTATATCTTACCAGGTAGCTTGACCATCCAATTGCTGAAGACGATGTTTGATTCTCTGTTGGCTTTAAAAGGGAACCTATGCCTACTGGAAGACATGTTCTTGAAATGTTTGTCCCCCCCTTTCTTTTTCTTTCTCGCCGGGCGCGAAAACGCCCATGGGGGTCGACCCGCCGGGTTTGAATTTCGCCAGATGCCCTATGGCGCCAACTTCCAGCGCCAAGACCTGCGGCGCCGAAAGAATACCTCCGCCAGCCGCTGGGACGCCTCCCTCGGGCCCGGACCGGGGCGAGGAGTGCCATGAACGTGTCCTTTCCCAAGTGTGCGACTTTCTTCCACTGAAGAATATGTCGAATTCCCCTGTGTTGTCTCAAAAGGGAAAATCTATCACTAGTTGTTTTTTCCAAGGGACTGAATCAAATGGAGATGCTTCTTTGACCGTTTAAGAACTGTTTGTCCCATTCCCTCGATCTCGTCGCCCCTTGGGCCAGAGATGGTTGCGTGTCCGTGTTTTTTCTTTTTACCGGACCCCGGAACGGCTTCGGTTCTCTTTTTGACAGGTGGCGGGGGTGTGTCGCCTCGCCGTAGGTGCGGATATCCCTTTGATGAGTTAGGCTGGTGGTTGGAAGGGAGCCTTGGGATCCTTGATGTATCTTAAGCTGCGAAGAGGCTCCGATCCAGTTTTCAGGAACGTGTTTGCATACCAAAAAAAGGCGCACTTTGTTGACCCAGTGACCTGCTCCTCTTTGGAGGGGTTTCAAGAACCACAACCCCTTCAAAACAGAATGGGTCTGATCCAAACGACCCTGGGCCGACCCTGAGCAACACTAGGTCCCCCAGTAGTGCCCTTTTACCAACTTTTTGGGGGAGGGTTCCCCTACTAGAATAGACTACTAAAAAGGGTACCCTTATTCTAACCTCTCTACTGGAGGACCAAGGAAGGAGGGCTCCAAGATCCAAGTCAAGGGCTCAGAAATTAAGATGGAACACAATAAAAATACCCCTGTCGTACAGGAAGCTCATGGAGAAAACCCTTGTTTTTCTAATCCAGTGCACATGTTTTCGCCCAGAACAAATGGTTGGCCCAAGCCCCCGGGAACGCGGGTGCACAAACGGGCGAAACCCACCCTCGAGTGGAAATGGTCGTTGAAAGGTAAAGTCTTCGTCCTTGACTATGAGCTGCAAGAGCAGGTTGAGGGTGAAATTCAGCGCCGATTTCAACTGCAAGAGCTGTACCTTTAGAGTTTAGACTTTATGTTTTGCTAGCCGCGTCCACGTGGATTCAACTCTTTTACGACCCTTTAAAGTAGTATTGGCTGGCAGTGGGGGGCAAGGCCAGTCTGCAACCTGAAAGGAGGGGTTTATGAATCAGGGCTCAACATGGGTGTGTGTCAGGTTGGACCCCCTCAAAGTGCTTGTTATCCTTTAGTTGCCTCACAAAACCAATATAAAGGGGGAGGGGGTTCCCTGAACAATCACAGCACGCACCCACATGATTGATTCCCGGTGCGTCTTTGTCCAGCCGCTTTCTCTGTATTTGGTCTGGATGTGCCCAGTGAAGCATGCCACGTCATCTCTCGAATGACTGGAACACACATATATATATATATATACATATACATGTGCATCTTTGTGTTTGTGTGTGTTTGCTTGTGTGTGTGTGCGAGTGTGTGTATATATATATAGTGTGTTTGTGTGTGTGGGAGTGTGTTTGTTTGTTTTTGTGTTTGTTTGTTTGTGTGTTTGTTTGTTTGCTTGTTTGTTTGCTTGTTTGTTTGTTTGTTTGTTTGTTTGTTTGTGTATCTATTTGTTTGTGATTCTGTGTGTTTGTGTGTGTGTGTGTTTGTGTGTGTGTGTGTTTGTGTTTGTGTTTGTTTGTGTGCTTTTGAGAGCACCCTTTTCGGGTGGCCTCTTAAAGGGACACCTTTTTGGAGTAGTCCGCCATTTTGACCCACCCATTTGTCCCTGTCGAGGCAAGGGCGGCAAGCAGAGCTCGAAGAAGTTGAACCAGATGTACGGGAAAGACGGGAGGCGGGGTTCATCCTGGGGTTTCGAACCCATTGCAGGTGGGACACGTAGTGGTTGATTCAGCACGGGTTACAACCTACTTGGGGACGTGGAGGCTCAAGGTACATAGTGAATAGGATGAACATCCAAGTTGGTCTTGTCAGATGTTTGGCGTTTCCGCTATGCTGGGCGGCAATGGGGAGGTGGAAGCGCTGCTTGAGGCAACAAGAAGAAGTCTAGAGGACATTTGGTGTTTGGGAATTGGGTGCGGCTCAAAATTTTCGCGCCAGGGGACCACAGGTTGCAGTCACTTTTTCCAGAATCCATGAGTTCCATTTTGGGTTCCATTTTTCGAGCAACATCCAACTGCTTCCAAAACAGCCCTGCAGCAATGCTTCAATTCCCTGCAGTTCGCTAGCGCATGATCTCAATTTCCCAAACCAAAGACACCGGGGGACACGTCGCCCTAAATGTTGTATGTTCAGGATCGGCGCATTTTGACCGTGGCTCAAATTGTATTATTTTGTGGGCTTGAACCGCGTAACTCTGGGGAATATCTCAACACCCTTTGAGCTCCTTCCAAGAAGGCTCCAAGAACTTTTGCTGGGTTGTGGCTGGGGGCCTTTGGTGGTTTCTGGACCCCTCACTTCCTGAGTTCATGGACTTACTTTCGGGGAAGACCAGGTTAGTGATGGACTTTATCTAGGTCCCCCAGTTGTGCCCTTTTACCATTTTTTTGGGGGGGGAGGGGTCCCCTACTAAAATAGACTACAGAAAAAAATGGATACCCTTATTCGAACCTCTCCACTGGAGGACCCAGTTATACTTTCGGGGAAGACCATTTTCGTGGCTTTTGCAAGAAGTCGGGTTGCTTTTCTGGCCAATCCACTCGATCGGAAGGGTCCCAGACCCGGATCGCTTCCTCAGAGGGTGATGTCCCCGGATCAATAGACCCCTGTTCAAGAGTATGGCCATAGGTGTCCTTTTTGGTTGTTTTGGTGGCCCTGGTTTACCTGGTGGTTTAATAATCTAGCAGGGCCATCTATCTGCCCTAAAAGGACACCTACGATTATGGGGGAGGTGTTCTATCCAAAAGTGTTTGAACCCACACTCGAAACAGGAAAACTCCCACATTCATAAACAGTATGGGGGTCAGCATGATGGCTCGTTGGCTCTTCAACCCATGTGATGACTTCGCAGGCTCAAGCGGAAGTACAGCAACGGCCCCGAGGAGATCACCGGGGCGCCAGTGACGCGGCGCCAGGACGGGCGTCCGGACGACCACAGACGCGGATAAAGAGGGGTCGATCGGTTCCGCGTAGATCCAAGAAACCGCCCCACCCCAGCCCCAACCCACCCCACCCCACCCCGACCCGCGTAAGTTGCAAATACCCTGTCTTCGTTTAAGAACAATTTAACAGAACCCTGGTTTTGCAGGGTAAGACTGTGTAGTGGCTTGCCTGGTTACCTACTACGTGTTGCTCCGAGTGAACCGTTCCTGAACACCCAAAGAGGAGATATTTCTTCCAACACCCGATCGTCAGCTTCCATTGGAGGACAGGATGCATCCGAAAACCACATTTACAAGGGGATCCTCTCATCCAACCGGTAAAAGTCATTGAAGTGGCCCTGCTTTGTGACCCTGTAAATGATTCGGCGGGGTGGAACTTGGCAATCCTTAAGATCCGTACCTTGGTTTACAAAATGATTTGGTTCCCTTAGTGGAAAACCGGTGAACACTCCATTGTGAAAGCCCGGTTTCTTTGCCGCTTCCAAACTTGGCAGACCAATCTCATACCAGGCTTTGATTGTCAGTTGTTTGGTTGGTTTCGGTCTCTAAAATCTATCTAAATTCCTTTTTGTTTTGTGGGATGCTCAGTCTCTTCTCGAATCTCCTCCAAAATTATCATATATCTCAGACCATTTTTCTAGGGGTAACTTCCCCATTCTTTCCAGGGATCCGTCTTTCCGTCTCTCTAGAAAACCACCCAAAACCCGATGGGGAAATGGCTGGTTTTTGAGAAGAACGATTGCTGAAAAGAATGGGGAATTGACTCCTAGAACTTATCCATGCTCCTTGAACAGTGGTCTCAGGAACAAAACAGTTGAAACATTGGTGTATGGAACCGGAATCAAGCCCTGGAGCTTTGACCCGTTTCTCGGTCAGGACCGGCAGCAGCGGCACCAGCATCAGCAGATCGCCGCGCTGTCCAGGAGCTCCTTGCTGAAGATCAAGACCAAGAACGAGCCCATGCGACTGGCTCTGCATGAAAAAAATGGTGCATTTTGCGTGGATGTTAGGCTTACCTCTTAAAAACACAACTTTTCAACTTTTTGGGTAGCATGGGCTATATGTCTGTAAAAGATTCACTTCCCCAGGGCTTGGAGTTTTAAGGGGTAAGTAGGACTTTAACTTGTTGCCAACTAATGGGGTTTTCCGTATGAAACCCACTAAAAGTTAAACTGTTAGCAGAGCAGAAAGCCACCGAGAAAAGACATCCGCAACTGGAAAGAAATGCGGCTGCTCAAGTCCAAAGGTGGCTTTTTGGGTTCGTGTGGGTATATCATTTACCAGGGACTCCCCTTCATTTGTTGAAAAGGACACCTGTGATCGAGCCCGTAACAAAGCCTTTTGATTTGGGGTCTCTGTCTTTGGCAGGTACCCGTTTTGGATTGAAAGGGCAGCCAACTGGCAACCACCCAGTTAAGGGACCCCCGAATCCTATTTCGAGACAACCCCCAGATCGATGTGGTGATCCCCTCATAAATGGGAAACCAAAGGAGAGGGAAAACAGTATGGCGTCAAAGGGAAACGATTCCATGACATGATGCATGTCGAAGTTCACTATGGGTTATTTGTTTTTTGTGGCGAAAGGTACTGTTTGTGGGGTTGGGTTGAAGGGAAACCAAAGGAGAGCCACTATGTTGATGTCCATAGCACTAGTATGATATCCGCATGTGTTCTTGTTTGGAGCTTTGGACCCTAATGGATTTGGGGGGGGCCCGGAGTCTCCTTCTGACCCAAAATGGAGGTGACTCCGAAATCTGTTGGGCAATCCCATTTAGAGGGGGAAAAAACTCCAGTTCAAGGAAGAAAAACAAGAGTTTCATGATGGCAGGCAGGTTCACTAGATATGGCTTGACTGTGTTTTAGCTTTGTTTTTCTGTGGTTGTCAAGGCTCCCTGGAGATGGTCCTTCAAAGGAACCCTGATGACTCCTCTGTTGCCCAGTGGTGCCAATTGTGTTTTCTTTTTTGGGTAAGGGTTCCCCTTTAAACTCAGCCAACCAAAAAACGGATGCCCTTTTTTCCCATGGAAATCCACTGTGCATCTGAGACTCGTGTTTTGCAGAGTTCCATTGGAAATGCCAGTCTCATCACCGTGAGGCCCAGACCCGAACACTGTATACAAGTGAGCCCCAAGCAAAGCCCGGGTAAGTGAAGGTGTGGCCGCCCTTTAGATTCTTTACATGGTGTTGAAATCGACCATTCTGATACCGATTGGTGTTGATTGTGACTCCCCCTCGGCTTCCGATTATTCACTCCAGTAGGTAACCACGGGAAACCATCATGAAACACCTAGAGGTAACAATTCCGAAGGTTTACCCACTATACAGGCTTGCCTGGAAGCACTGGGTCAGCGACAACAGACAATAGCTGAATCCTTCCATTTGCTGAAATTCACGTATGTTTATGTTCCCCTCTTGGTTTTAAAGGGAATTCATCACAACTGGACATTTAGATGCTTGGCTGAGTCCTTCCATTTCTCGAAATGAATATGTTCCCAGGTCCCGCAGTAGTGCCCTTTTACACTTTTTTGGGGAGGGTCCTCTACTAAAATAGACTACCGAAGAAAGTTGGTACCCTTATGCTGACCTCTCTACTGGAGGACCTAGGTTTTTATATGTTCTATTGTTGGTCTCAAATGAACATATTTGTGTTTTTTTTTTTTTGCGCGGACGAAGAAGCCAATGGAAGCAGCTCATCGCATCGAATTGACCGCTAAGGAGCTTCTCCTCAGCTATGACACCAGAGCTGCTGGCGACCCTTCAGGATATGTGATTTCGGTTCTGCATCTCTGGAGCTAGGGGAACCACATGGAGCTAGGGGCGGGTTTTTTTCCCACGGGTTTCCTCAGAAATCCCCCACCACTGAGTTGTTTTTTTCTCCGGCGAATCGTCCGGTTCAAGTTAGCTGTTTAGTTCTTTTTCGTGGGTTGGGTAACTTGCACTTAAGCCACAAGTTAAACTTACTGTTAGCAGGGGATCTGAAAACGGACAGCCCAGGATACGAACCGCACAAAGAAGCGGTTCCCTTTTGTTCTCCCTTTAAATCAGCCACACACGGGTACCCTAAAACAAACACATCCATATGCGCCCATATGTCTACTTGTCTTGCACATATGCCCTGGGATCGTGTCTTTTTCCTCGGTTTGTCCCGAACATTGAGATCTGCCCTTGTAGCTTTATGCTCTATGAGTCTTCTTCTCCAGTGTGTTTGTGACATCTGTGGTCTTTTGGGGAAAGCCCAGATTGGATCTGCTTAGATGTCTTGTGGGCCCCTTGATTCCCCTGGCCCCTTCTCTCTTGGCTGTTAGATTCAGATGGGTTCCCCACTGGGGTCTCCTCAAAACAACATGTGAAATGTCAAGGTCGACTAAACATGAAGTAGATCTGACCGTCTTGGAGATCTGAACTACGGTTCGCCCTTCTGCCGTTTTGGGTGTCCATCAGAGTAGGGGAATCGACCGCTAGGGTTGAGTCCAGGAGTTTCCTGTGGCGGTTCCCGCCAGAATCTTTGACGGCGAGCACAATTTTCGGGCTTTGACCTCGAGTGGGTTGGTTGTTACCCAACATACTGTGGATGGACGAAATTATTTCATTTCTCAGCACCTAAGAAACCCTGCAAGGATGGTAAATACCAACAAGCATTGGTTTCATCCATGGTTTCAAAGTGGTCCGAACAGATTTTGCCCATCCACAGTATGGGTGTGGGTCAAACATAGGGTAACCAGGACTAACAACTGTGGTCCCATGGTCTAATTTTGACCCATGCCCATATCATGTGTGGTGTACCCTGGGGTTGTGTAGAATCTGAAACAATCATTTGCAAATGGGTGGTTTCCCAAACAACCATTTCCTATGGCTGGGTCCCCCAGTAGTGCTCTTTTACCCTTTTTTGGGAGAGTTAACCCACTAAAATAGACTGCAGGACAAAAATCGGGTACCCTTATTCTAACCTCTCAAATCTGGAGGACCTAGATGAGTAGACCTGCCAGAAGATGGAGTTTCGGCAACCACTTGCACATGGTTGCTTCAGGTTCCAGACATGGTATTTCCGGGGCTTGGGCCGAATTTGTTTGTGGTCAGAATCTGAATACGTAAGAAATTCGAATTATCCACTTAAAGCAATTTCCAGGTTGGACAATGTGTGTGTTTTGCGTACCCGAACCCAACTACCCTCTTTTTTACAGAGTATTTTCATAGAACACCTGGTTTTCTATGGTACGAATATCTCTGTTTGTTGGTACTGTAGAGGGTTGACACGATACCAACTAGAAAAAGGTCGGGTATTGGGTCGGGTTTTGTCCCCACAGGAGGGGGACGAAGTTGCCGATGCGCGGCCGCCAGACCTAGAAGCAGGCGTAAGTTTGTGGATTCAATGGCGTGTCTCGTACTATCCCTGGGGTTCAGTTGCCAACATGAAAACAATGGGGGTGAATGTAACCACCATTATTTACCTATAAGGATTGTCCTCATCAAAATTGAGTCAACCATTCTTTTAATGGGTGTTGAACCCACCAACATGGAAGTGCACAAAGCCCCGAACTCCAAAAGGAACGTAGTCGTTCCATGTCGTTGATTTTTACAGGGGTCTGTGCACTTCCATGTTCGTCGGTGGGAGGGTATAAACCAACATGAAAACAATGGGGCTCAATGCAAGCACCGTTCTTTACCTAGGATTGTCATCAAAATTGGTCCTTGCCAGGGATGTGGAATCAAGGGGTTTATTCCCACTTCTGTACCAGGGAATCTCCCCCTTTATATGGGGTCTTCGTCTTGGTTAGGCAAGCCCTTGTTGTATCACAGAAGTGGGGTCCAGTTCCCTGGAGTCCTTGCCATTCTTTCGGGCTATAAGTTTAATTGTAGGGACCAATGAACCTGGGACTCACGATAAGTTGGTTATAACCATCACCAACCCCGTACCAAGTGCCTTGCCAAAAGGATAGAACCATCCGGGTATGTCTTGTTTTTAGGGACCCCCCCGCAACACAAAATGTGGTTTTCCGCTTTTTGTCGCTCGCTCGTTGTCCGGAAGACAAGCGGTGCGAGTGCTAAAACGCTCGCGGAACTCCGGTCATCTCATGCGGGGCAGTGACAAGCGCAAAGCGCCGCCCTGCGGAAGCACTACTTCCATTTGCTTAATGATATGTTTTATTTTCCCCTTTTGGTTTTAAGCGGAATCTATCATAACTGGATTCGTGTTTTGTTTTTTTTTTTTTCAGGGGGCTCAAGCAAATGGAAGACTAAGCAACGACTTGAAGATCTTGTACGCGCCACGGGAGATATACGAGCTGGAGGATACGTTCACGGAGCTCATATGTGCGAGTCCTTGCTTAACCACCATGATGTGCTTCAGCTTAGAGAAGAAGTTGCGCGGCGAGCGTGTACTTGACGAGGATGCTTTCATGCAGCGACACCGCGTGGCAGCTCGCGGCAACACCGCGACCTATCACTTGCCGTGGGAAGAGCTCCTTGAAACAAGCTGCCGATGCCAAGGGTCACAACTCCAGACCGTTGCTGCCTGTGGTTTCCCTTTAGCACAACAAAGCGCTGCCCTCAAAAAAGAGCAGCCTGTTTAGTACCACTACAAAGCGGTACCCTCAAAAAGACAAGCCCATGTGACAATGTGTATGTGTGTTGTTTCTTGTTGCGTAATTCCTTTGTTGTTGTTATGGAGAGCCAAATGGAAACCGCCCATGTTTGGGGGTTCCCGTTTTTAATGTCACAACGGGACAAAAGGGAGCCATGGGAAGTTTGTGTCATCTAGCCGCGCTCGGTGCGGATCCCTTGGCTCTTCAGCACGCAGTGACAGTAAGAGTTGAATCAGGAAGGATATTGGTTGCGCAAGGAACCGGTGCCCTTGGTGCCTGGAGTCTCCATGACCCTTAAAAACATGTTGGTCGTCACCGAAAAATTTTGGGGTCATTGACCCATTGTTAAAAGGTCGTGGAGACTCCAGGTAGTGGCTTACCTATACGTACGGATTGGAGCTTAGGCTTCCCAACCCGCCATTTTGAACATAATATATATATATATATCCCGGTGCTTCCAGGCAAGCCACTATAGTAGGTAACCAGGGGTGTCCCCAGCATTTAGACCTAGAGGCAGCCAACCTGGTTACCTACTATAGTGGCAATTGGAGGCACAGGGTAGCACCGCTCAGGTATCCCTTTCTGTTGAACTTATGGAGGGCCCTGGGTTCGCGTGATGTTTTTTGGCAAGAGTTGTTTTGTTGCAAGAGGCCCGTGGCCAACCAGAAGGAAATTTGGTTTTGGCCCTATTTCCTGTACCCTTGCTTTAAGCGACCCTGTACTGAAAAAGGAAGTATTTCTCCTGGAAGCCCAGGTTTAAAAAAAAAATACCCTAAACAAAGAGGGCATAGGTGTCCTTTTTGGTTGTTTTGATATACACATATGGCGCTGGACCTGGTTTACCTTGTGGTTGAATCATCTACCAGGGAAACCCATCTATTTCCAACCTAAAAGGACACCTATGAAAGAGGGTGTTTGGAGTAGTGATGGAGGGGTTTCCCATGGCAGAGCAGCCAGGTAGTCTCACGCCCCCAAGGTTGTGACTTACGTTTTCGGGGGCTGGACTGGTTTGGTGGTAAGCATCACTACTTTGTTGGATTTTGCCAACGGATGTTAGGACTGAATGACTTTTTGCCAACTTTGATGGGTTTTTCGTATTAAACCACTCAAAGTTATTCACTTTTAGCAGGGGTGCAAAAAGCAACCGAGACTAGGTCACCCAGCAAGTGGTGCCCGACCTCTCACCCCTTTTTTGGTTGGGAGATTCGGTTCCCCTACTAAAATAGACTACAAAAAAAGAACCGGGTACCCTTATTCTAACCTCTCTACTGCATGACCCAGATACAGAGTACTGTGGTACGTGGGCAGGTGACGAGCAGGAGCCGACGACGGGCCTCGCGGAGGTTCTGCAGAAGGCGGGGTCTAGCGGGGAACCCAACCTCCCTAAGGCTCCCGATGATTTTTCGGCCGTCAAGATGGGTTGTTTTCAAGGGCCCCTGAGGGGTCCGGGTTCTTCATTGGAGAGCGTTTTCACTTGATGTTCGACCAAGTTGCAAAGTCGGTTTTTGCAATGCTTTAGACATGGATGCAACCTACTTGCCTCACGTTGGCAACGAACATCCAAGGGCCGGGACAAACATCCCCTGGCCGTTTTTCTGGGGGGTCTCTGCCATGCGTTGACTTTTAGACCTTTAAACTTGGAGATTTATTTTAGGACATATCTTACCCAGTGGATCCATTTACCTGGAGTCTCCATAGCCCTTAAAAAATGGTTGGTCATTACACAAAATAATGGAGTCATGGACCAATTGTCTACTCCAGGTACCTGTATGGGAAAATAAGGGAACCCCCCAATATAGAAAGCCAAAAAGGGGACATAGCGAAGGGTTACCTCTATATGGGCGAAACGCCGATCGGGATCCACTCGGCCGATGTCAGCATGTGATTTAGTGTTTGCTTCGGTTCTGTTCATGTGCTGGTTAACCCAACCCCTGACTAAAACAGGAGGCATTTGCCATAGACATCCACAAAAGGTTTAAAATGACCACAGACAGTGGGTATTGAGTGTATAGGGTGTACCTTTCGGACAACCACTTCTCTCATGTTGAGCACGGCTCCTGCTGCGCAAGAGCGGCCCCCCAATCCGAGCAGGGCCTAATAGCCACTGACAAGGCCACCCTCCATTGAAGTGGTCGAACCGAAACTCCGGAGGGTTTTGGACCTCATCTCGGGCCTTTTTGGGTCCCATACGACGCTCAACAAAAAAAGGCACGGAAAAACGCAAATGGGCGTGTCTTTGTTTTGAGGCTCTTCCTTTTGCGTGGTTTTTAAGGGAAACCCGAATGGAAATAAGCTCGCGGAACCCAATCTCTGGCCTAAACCACCCCGAATTCGAGCCTATCTAGGCCTATTCACCCCATAGCTTGCAGAGGTTGGGGGAAATCTCGCATGTTTTCGTTGTTTTTCTTTTTTGCCGGGGGGGATGCCCCTTGTTTGAGATTTTCAAGGGAAACCAAAAGGACAACAACAACTTCTTCTTTTTTTGGGAGGGGGGGGTCCCTACAATAACAAGGACACTATTCTTAGTGGTTCCCTAAATAAGAAGTCTGAAGAAACAATCAAATGGGAGTGGTCTTTCGTTCAGGTCATGTCACCCGACTCGGCGAAAAAAAACGCCAGGTCTTCGGGCATGAAAGCTTTCGGCCAGGGCAGCAGGAAGCAATGGAGTCGGTGCTGAACAAACAGACGCTCGGTGATTAAAATGCCTCCCCCCAGCAATTGGTGCCCTTTCTCACTCTTTTTTTGGTTGGGAGATTCGGTTCCCCTACTAAAATAGACTACAGAAACAAGTTGGTACCCTTGTTCTAACCTCGCTACTGGAAGACCTAGATGCTCTCCCGATGCTCTCCCAAAGCCGACTTTTGCTTGCTGGTTCTCAGTAGGGAATGTGGGAAGGAACCCAGGCGTCCCCTTAAAGGATACCGCAAGGGATGGCTTATAGGGGTCGTTCCCACATTCCCTACTGAGCACCAGCAAGTTTTCACCATTTGGGCCGCTTTTAGTAGGTTGCAAATCGTGATCACCGTGTATTTCTGGGTCCTTTGGACAACTGAGAATGGTTGTGGGCCAAAACTAGGTCCCCAAAATGGAATTCTCTGGTAAATGGAAACTTGGACTAAAGTCTGCGGTACCGTGGTGGTGAAATTTCGACCCATACCCGAATTGAATGGTAATTACCCGAAAGATTTCAGGGTCATAGCCCCATCTTTGATAAGGGTCGGAAGGCTTCAACTGCAGGTACCCCCAAATTCCCGAAGACTGTGATGAGATAATGTGTGGTTGATAGTATCTGATGTTCTCACAGTGGTGGTTTATCTTCTAAGTCCCCCAGTAGTGCCCTTTTACCCTTTTTTGGGGAAGGTTCCCCTACTAACATAGACTCAGATAAAAATCGGGTACCCTTATTGGAACCATTAGAGTACAGAAAAAAGTGGGTTCCCAAATTCTAACCTCTCTACTGGAGGACCTAGTCTTGTTCAGTATGTCTCTTTTGTTTCTTTTTCGTTTCGGGGCTGTGTTCGGATCTGGAGCCCCAAAGCAGCTCAATGGGACCGACTCAACGAACACACCTTGGTTGGTGTCTCGCAAGCCGCCCCCGTCCGGTTCGAAGTTCGGAGCCTTTCTGGGAGCCTCCTGAGCCTTTCTGGGAGCCTCCTGAGCCTTTCAATGACGTATTCCCAAGTTTTGAGGGTCAGGTCCGGAGACTCGAGGTCCAAAGACCCTCTTAGTTCCAGAATACTTCATGGTTCTTGGGAAACAGTTGAATCATTTTTGCTTCTTGTGGCGTGGTTGAAATCCAAATCCACTTGACTGCTATTTTATTTTGTTTGTCCCCTTCCAACGTCAACCAAGCTTTTCAAGGTCATGACCCGAAATCTTTTGGGCAACCCATGTCTTTCAAGGAGGAGCCTTTAGGTACCCGTTTCATGTTTTTGTCGCTTGGGGTTGTAAATTTGGGCGCAACAGAAACATTAGTCAGTGGACCCCCCCCCCCGTTCTTGGAAAGGGGGGGTTGCAACAGGGGGGTCTTTTCTCCGAAAGTGATGGACCCTCTGACTAAAACGCGACACCCTCATCTCTCAACATCAGCCAGGTTCGCACTTCCTGAGTTCGGATTTTAGCCACTTTTGGTTTGGCTGGACCATGTTTTTGCTAAATCAGGAAGTTCCTGGACTTTTCTTGTCAATTCACTCCGGAACTGAGGTTCGCACCGGTGATTATTAATCATGGGTCAACAAAGGTGGACAAAGGTGGACTCTCCCAGGGTAGACTTCAACCCAGGGGTCGTTTCCCCCCAAAAGGAGAACATCTAGGTTTAAGTCTATCTGGAAATTGGCAAAAAGTGGAACCTTGCTGGGGTCATGAGTGGAAGTTCCTGGACTCTTTTCTTAGGCCAACTCACTCAGGAGTTGAGGTTCCTTGACTTTTCTTAGGCCAATTGAATCATGGGTGAACAAAGACACGGGGAAACAAAAAACGGTTGATTTCCCGGTTGCTTCCCTTTAAACACAATCCAAAGCGGGGTGGTTTTTTGAGACAACCTATTTGTTTCAGAACTTGTGTACCCACCTCTCCCAAAGAAGCCTTGGAGTGGAAATCATCTCGGATTCAGGAAGACTCTCTTGCTGCTGGCCACTGGCAGCGGCAAGAGTCTCTGCTACCAGCTGCCCGCCTACCTGCGCCTCGGCTCCCGGCTTTCGGATGGTGCCAGGAGGGGGGTAGGCTGTACTGGGATGGGTCTCCCTATTAAGAAAAAGGTGCAAGCCGATTTGGCTCCTTAGCTCCGTACATACCACCATTTCGGGGGTCTCTTGAAAGAAGACAAGCACATATGTAGTAACCCCCCGTTCGAGGTAGGATTCAAGGGAAATTTAAGGTAAGCACACAGACCCATTTGGGTGTGTGTCAAAAGGGGGAGTGGTGGGGGCACACCAACATGACGGGTTCCCTTTGCTTTCCTTTCAAGCTACATTGACCAGTGTTGCCTATATTAGGGTCTGTGTTTGGCCTGGCTTTCTCAACAGGTAAGTGGATCTGAGTGGCTTCACAAAGGGGTTTTGGCGGGGGGAGACCTCCAGGACTGCGAATTCGCTGAGGCTCAGAGAGGAGGGTTTGACGCTGGTGGTGTCGCCCCTGGTGTCTTTGATGTCGGATCAGTTGGCGCGGCTGCCGAAGTGCTTGCACCTGGGGCGATTTATTCTTGTTGTTTGTTTTTTGCCGCGGGCCGCTTGCAAAGCCAAAGCCCCCCAAAGCTCCGCATACCCGGCCTGTGTTTTTGTGGCTAGGTCCCCCCTTTCTCACCCCTTTTTTGGTTGGGAGGGTTCCCCTACTAAAATAGACTACAGAAAAAAGGGTACCCTTATTCTAACCTCTCTACTGGAGAACCTAGTGTGGCAATGCTCCCTGTCTTGCGGGCAATGGCCTCATTTTAGCATAATCAGAAGGAGGCTCCCGCTGGAATTTGGGTGTGTGTCAAAAGAGGGGGGGACCTTCAAAATGAAAGGTGTCCGATTGGTTTGCCTTTAAACCAACCCCAAAACGGGTACCAACCTTAAACACGACACCAATGTCCCCCTACACCCCTGTTCAAGGCCATCCTATGCTTGCGCTTCGGTGGAAATAGTGGTTTTGTTTGTGTGATTGTGTGATTGTGTGATTGTTTGTTTGTTTGTTTGTTTGTTTGTGTGTTTGTTTGTTTGTTTGTTTGTTTGTTTGTTTGTTTGTTTGTTGGTTGGTTTGTTTGTTTGTTTGTTTGTTTGTTTGTTTGTTTGGCTGTTGTTTTTCCGTTCGCGAGGGACATGGACTCGCTACCTAAAGGGTGCTCGTTGCCAAGTCAGTAAGGTGTACCGGGAACCTAGCCCAGTTTTTCCAGGCGCTTGCCACCATAGAAGCTAACCCTTCGGTATTTTGACTTCCAGGTTTTAATTACCATGGATGCTTTCCGCTGGTTAGCTACTACAGCGGCAACTGGAAGCACTGGTTACAACCCAACAAAACAAGTCCCCCTAAGTGGTGGCCTTGTATATAAGGGGGTTATACCCCAAGTGGACTTACTAACTTGGCCAAACACCCATGTAGGTTTCCCCACAATGGACGAGCAGTCCTGCCCGAGTGGACTCGGTGCCTCCCTTCCGAGCTCGGTGCATTTTCTGAACATGACCGCTTGGTTGCCAAGTGGTTGGAACTTTAGACTTTACTCAGTTGCCAAAGCGAATCGACCCTATAACCTTCTGGTTTTGCAGTTTTGGTCCATTTTTAGTCATGGCCCCAAAAGGTTAACCTTTTGTTTCTGGGCAGTGAGTTTAACTTTCTGGGAAGTGATGTTATTATCCCACTAAGCAGTCAGGATTGGGGGTTGGGTATTTGAACCCCGGGTTCTCGTAGAGGCTGGGAAGCACACCGCACCACACCATCATGTTTTTCGGGAAGCTGACACCGCAAACGTGTACATTTTTGGCGGGATTTTCTCATTTGAGTCCCTTGTGTCCCTCTTCACGGGGACGCTATTTCTGTACGGGGAACAGGTGGGTTTGTAAGGACTTAGACTTGCTTGGGGGTTGGTTTAGGGTTGGTGCTAAAATTGCTGTGATTATTCATAGAGAGCAACCCCCTGGTAGAGAGAGGGCCGCCATTTCTGGTATTCTGTCCAATCTGTGGGACCACATTGTTCTTCGGGCGCAAATCTGGGGCACAACGCCAGCATCTATCTTCCGATTTGGCTCATCAACATATGGAGTATGTTTGGAGGAGACCCCAGTTTTCAGATTCACCGGAGGGTACATTTGTTTTACCCGTTCAGAGCAGACATTTCAAGGTTTGGACACTAGGCTCGCCAATTCTGAGCCGGTTTTGCAGGAAGGTTGCCTTGCCTAGCGGCAACTGGAAGCAGTGAGTTAGCCTATTAACTCAGGTTGCTCTGAGCGACCTCCTCTCTCCAGGGCAGATTTCCCCGTCTCCCCGATAGACCCCTTATGCAATCCATTCTTGGAGCAAAACAGTCGGCTTCCGATGGGACATCTAGAATTGTTGGGACACATTCCGCTATATGGGTCTGGTGTTTTTTGAAGCGAACTTTTGTTTGGTTGTTTTAATGTGAAAGAAGGACCACACACACAACGGTGCGGGAGTCTCCTATTTTAAGACGCCCATGTTGTGCAGAGTCAGAGCATTGGGTATAAGTGCCAAAACAGCTTTGAACCTTTGTGACGTTTTTGTTTTAAATCCGAGGGGAAGAACTCGAGGGTCGCTCGTGGAACTCTCTGCTTAGTTCCCATCGGATGGCTTCGTCTTTCCTTTTGGTGTCCCTAAAAAAGAAAGAAGAAAACGACCAAAAAGGGGTACCTGAAGAAGACACAAGCCCGGTGCTGCCAGGCAAGCCACTATAGTAGGTAAGCTTTAGGCATTTCTGCCTCTAGGTTTTACCATGGATGGTTTCCCTGGATACCTGCTATAGTGGTAGCTGGAAGCACTGGGGTTGGGTTGTGTTAAATGGACAACCACCATTTTGAGTGGTGTGCGTGTGCTTTATGTTTGTCTTTTTGAGGGAGCCCTTTCTCTGCCCAAAGGACTAAAACAAATCAAAGCTTAACCTTTTGGCGCCCTGGCAGACTGAAAATGGACCAAAAAGGGGACACTGGCTTTGGGCTTGTGAGCTCTTCCCCTCAAATGTTTCAACAAAAACAAAACATAAAGGTTGAATCCTGTGTTCACATATACCCATGAGAACCAAAAAGGGGACACTAAAAGGTCAACAGGTTCGCGGTCTGAGGCGGGGTGCAGTCTGCAGCGGCCAGCAGTCCCGCGACCAGGTGCGAGAGGTGATGCGCGCCGTGCGCGCACGTGGCCCGACGTAAGTGACGCGATCAGCGAGGGAGCGGGCTGGAGGCAAAAATATGATGCTGACCCTTTACTAAAGAAGGGATCGGTATTAACCCTGGGGAGCCATATTTTTCAAGAATATCCTGCAACTTGGATGTTCAACCAATTGAGCAAGCAGGTTATTAACCATGGTTATAGGTGAGGCAACTGGGGTCAGTCCCATCATAGCCATGGGTATAGCCTTTAACTTGGCCAAACATGCAAAGGTTGTACCACCAGACCCCTGGAACACACCTCTTAAGAATAAGCAACAAATCAGAGTAAATAGGGGGTAAATGAGCACTACATTAGGCCTTTCCCTGGCATGTCATATTCCTTCTTTGCGGTTTGGTTTGGGACCCGGTCAATGGTGGAAGTCTTTGATGCAAGGGTTTGGATTGGGCGTCTGAGGGTTTGGATTGGTTTGGAGGTTTGAATGTACCGTTTGAAGCCAAGTTAGGCACCCCGTAAATAGAAACCACAATTAGGGGAAAGGTGCTTTAGAACCATTTTGCTACAACCAAAAGTCACCGGGTTTTGGGCACTCAATTGAAAAGGAGGCTCCAGGCTTGGAAACTTGAAACAGGCCAGAGCGCACTTGTTCTATTCCTGGGCGGTTAGTGTCTAAACCACCAAGACAAAGCACCAGTTAGGAGCAAGGTGATTTTACTTGGCGGTTCCCAGCCGTCCCGCAAGCTTTTCAGTGTTTAGCGTTTAGTGCGGGTTTCCCCAGATTTCCAACTGTTTAGCGCCCGCCCCTTTTTTTTAGGTGGCTCCCAGCCATCCGGTTCAAAAAAAAGCTTTTTAGATCTGAGTGTTTCGTGGTGGTGGTTTCCATTAAACAAAAGCTACACGTCTTGCTTTTAGCAGGGCTGTCTGTCCAGCCCGGGTTAGGTAGGGCAGGGGCTGAGGTGAAGGGTTTGAATCCTATGAATGGGGGTGGGACCCCAAACAAGTGGTTTTCATGTTGGGGACCCTCAAAGACATGCCTGGACTACCCTCAAAAACGGGATACTTCCCCACAATGATGGGGAAATCCCTCTTTATAGGTAGTTTGAGAGTCCAGGTACCCGAATGTGCATGGCTATCGTAGATTGCATCCGAGGCATGGTGGATGTGCTCTTCGTGTCTCCTGAGAGGCGAGTGGTGCCGATTGTTTTCAGAGGTCATTGCAAAAGGATGGAAAGAACCTCCCCCTGTTGGTGAACTTTCGACCTTTTTCGGTGTGTCATTTTACGGGTACCCCCAAAATGGCTCCTGTTTTCCATTTGGTTTCCCTTGAACGTCACAAGAATGGATACCCTCCAAAGAGGCACGCCCTTTTTGGGAGACCGTTTTGGCGGTAGCTGCACCAACAGTTGGCAGCGGTCATAAGCCACTTTTTGGTCATAAGCCATGGTCTCGCTCCCCAAGTCTTTGTTGGGCTTTAGTCACTTGGAAAGACCATTTTGTTGGTAACTCCCCAAGCTTTGGGCTTGTGGGGGCCTTTTCTAACCATGGTTATATGGAAACCAACCCGGTTAGCAACCACTTATAACCATGGTTATACAACCTACCTACTAAGTTGGTTGACCAATTTGTAGCCAAACCCAGTTATCCGAGTAACCACGGTTAGAACCCCCTAAAACTTAGGGGTGCCTTCCCCATTCTTTCCAGGGATCCTTCTTTCAGGAAACCATCAAAAACCAGGGGAAACAGATCTGGTTTTTGAAGAGAACGATGGTTGAAAAGAATGGAACCGGAATCAACCCCTAGATAAGTGGGTTGCACAGCTCCAGTTACAGGGGAGCTGATCAATGCAGTGCTTCGGGGAGCATATTTCCGGGATAAACTTATGTGAGTTTGGACCATTTTTGGACCATTTTGGCCCGTTTGCCGAGGCTGTAATCCCAGGGTGCAATACAACAACCCTCTTGCTTAAGAATATGTTTTACGCATCTATCACTGGAAATATCTGTTTATTTTGTCCAGGGAGCTTGGGCACCGCTCAGCTTCGCAGGCTGGCCATGTGGTCCTTCGATGGCTGCGGCTTGCCGCCCATTGCCTTGGCATGCATCGACGAGGCATGCGCGAGCTGAGAAAAAAGGCAGCTAGTCAAGTGCAAAGTCTGAAATGCGAACGGGAGTTGCTTCCATTTGCTGAAATGAGTATTCGGGCCCGTACCCCCAGTGAACATCCCAATCCCCACTATAGACTAAAAAGGGTGGCGCACCTACCCCAAAATGGTACCACTGGTTTTGACCTACAGCCAAATGAGTATTTGGTTGATACTCCCCTGTTGGTCAGAAAGGGACTTAAGCGAAGGGAGGGTTGTGGAACACCTTCAAACTTTAATCTTTGGGGTGGGATACCTTGATTCAAACTTCAGTTATGATTGCATGAGTATGCTGTTAGTACACTCACTTGCCCAAGGCGAATGGATGGGCCTTTTGACCTTTTTGTTTTCCCTTGTTTGTGTCAATTTTAGTATTGGCCCCAAAATGTGATCACCTTTTTATTTCTGGGTCCCAACAGGGCAACTGAAAGACATACACTGTTGCCAGCAATCCCCTTAGGTTGGTAGTTTCCACCTAGGTCCCCCAGTACTGCCCGTTTTCCTTTTTTTTGCTTGGGAGGGCTGCCTAGTAAAATAGACGTCTAGAAAACAGTTGGTACCCTTATTCTAACCTCTCTACTGGAGGACCTAGCCACCTAAACCACAAGTCAGACTTTAGCAGCTGCATATGCCAATAGATATGGAGTGTGAGTGTAGTGTGTGCGTATATATTAATATATATGTATATACATATCTACATATATATATATACACATAAGCGGAGTACATGAGGGGCAACAGCTTTGCGGGCAGCGTTCGAAAGAGCAGTCCAAAAGTGGAATATCTGAGATTCGCCAGGTTTGCTTGTTCAAGTGTTATTTGGTTCAGGGTCCAATACTGATTCCAAGCCACAGCAAGGGAAGGCAGGGGAAGACCCTGACCCTTAACAGTGCTTCATGCTTCTCAACTGCACTCTAATCTCTATAGGCTGCGATGGCACCCTTTACTTCTGATGAACAATTTCTTGCACCCAGTTGCCTTGACGACGCCCTACGTGATTGGTTGACTAAACTCCAATTCCAACTGAGCCACAATCAAAACAGCTGTTTCAGCCTCAAGCCTTCCCGCGGTGACAGCTGTTAGCTGTTCGGTAGGACCTGACCCCTCCTTGGTCATGGCCCCATCACCCGGACAGTTACAGACTTGGGGACGGGGGTTGATGTTGGCCTTTCTGGTCAACTTTCTCATGTTTTCCATATCTAGATGGGGGGGTTCAGGAGGAATCCCGAGTTGGCGGTGACTATTCTTTTGTTGGTCTGTTTTCAAAGATGTTCTTGGTGGTTTGGAATGGTATTTGTATCTCTCCTGGTAAAGCAGCTTATTGGATCTCCCTCATTTGGAGCAGAGTGAGGATCAATAAGGGCTGCAGAGATGAATTGGTGCTATTTGGCATCTATGATTATTGCTGGGTATTGGTATGTATTCTTCTTCGAGAGCGACCTATTGATGCGGTCTTCGAGTACCTCGTCATTGGTGCCATTGGTATTCTCTATTTGTCCATATGCCGATTTCTTCGTGGAGGAGCTGCAGTATTGGACTATCTATTTGTGATTATTTTTCGTGAATTGGATGAGGTGCAGGCCGGGTGTCGTATTTGGGTGCAAGGGAGATGTCGGCTGACCCCTTGGATACCCTTTCGGCTCCCTATTTGTGTGATGTTATGGGGGTTATGTACCATCGCCCTGGATTGGTTTATTCATGGAAATGTTCCTTGCAACGAGCCCCCCGGATATGCAGTGATCATTTATCTGGGACATGCAGAACCGCTGTTTCCTTCATATGGCTCAACCAGATTGAATGTGAGTCCTGGCCCCTCGGTGGGCCTCGGCCATGGAAGCTGCCTTGGAGGCGTGAGACTTCTGCTTGGCTGGATGGGCGTGGCCTTATTCTTTTGGGGATGGATTCAGGTGGTATTCCGTCTCTGGGAGCTTCTTGGCCGAGTTTGCAGTATAAGAGGTATAGAAGATGAGCAGCTTGGCGGGTTGGGCATTGACCTGGACAAGTTTGGACGTGATTTGGAAGGCCCTTTGGCGACGTATGGCTCAGTGAAAGGGAGAACCTTGAACAATGCTGGGCGCGGCAACTGTTTTTGGTACGCTGTGAGCCAACTTCGTTTTGGGCATGCCAGGAGCTGGAGGAGGACCAAAAGGCAAGTGCTCATGGAGGCCAATCAGGTAACCAAGGAGAAGCACAAAGCAAGTGGTAAATGGGCTGATGAAGAGGCTATTCAGGCTACTGCCAATTTTCTTCGCCAAGAAATTTGGGTGGTCAACGTGAGTGGTAAGTGCAACTTCAATCACTTCGGACAAGTGGTGAGGTTTTTGCCCACAACCCAGGATCAGGAGATCAAGCCATTGGTGCTCAGGCTCTGGAGCGACCACTTTGAGGCCATCCGGGTAAACAGCTTTTGGCTTGAAAATCGCGAGGTTTCATGGGAAGCCTACAAGAGATCGCCTCTTGACTTGTGTGTCCCTCGTTTCGAGCTTGGAGATATGGAAGATGGCGGAGGCACGAATCCTTGTGGAGATCTTTGTGGAGGTGGCAAAGGTCACAAGAAAGGGAGGAGCAACTCACAGTTTGATGACATTCCTGGAGTTACGTATGATATCAGCAGATACCTTTCTTTCGTTCTTCGGCATGGAGCAGTGAAGGAGGGTATTGAAATGGACAGTGAGGGTTACGTGAAGGTGGAGGATATTTTGGCCAGAAAGCCACATGCCTCGATCGACAGCGTGCTATTAGCGGTCAATCGGGATGAGAAGGGCAGATTTGAGGTTCATCAAGGAGAAGATGGGTGGCTTATTCGCGCAACCCAAGGCCACAACAAGGAGTTGGACCTCAGCAATGAGATGCATCGCCAGATTACAACGCCGGATGAGGTGGATCAGCCCACTTTATTTCATGGCACTTATTTGGCGGCGTGGGGGTCCATCAGGCGTCAAGGGCTGCGGTGTGGTCACAGGCAACACGTGCATTTCAGCACTACATATTTTGTGAACCATGGCCAATCAGGTATGAGGCCGGGTTGTGATCTGGTGGTTGCAGTGAATGTTCAGCAATTGCTTGATGCAGAGATGCCCTTGTACAAATCAACCAATGGGGTCTATTTGGTGGGCCAGGACATTCCACCGGAACTTCTGTACAATGTTTATTGGGCCCGCGGTCCGCACGACTACAGGATGATTTGGCAATATGGATACTGTGTGCTACATGAGCAGATTGATCGAGATGAGATACTTGCTGCCAAATGTCGGAGACTAGGCTTGGAGCCTTGGGGTTTTCTTCAGCCCCCAGATGTTTATGGTACTGGTGAAGAGGAAGTGAAAGAAGAGATGGATGAGATGGAAGAAGTCCTCGTGGAAAATGAGGAACATGAAGAAAGCAAAGAGCATGAGGAGCTGCCTGGAAATGAAGAGGTAGCTGATGTTGTGGATCAGGCCTCGGGTTCCGATGGATATCGAGGCTTGGGAGAAGTGTGGAGTTTGTCGGACGCGCCAACTTGGCAGCGAGGGATCCGATTTAAGTCACGATCCCGCTCCCCCGGGGGGAGGCCGCTTCATAATAGTCTGCGGACCCCGCTCCCGAGGAGGCGCCCTTTGCCAAGGTTGAGGAGAGATATCAGCGGAGCTGGACTATGGAGTACAGAGTACAAGGAGCAATGGCGCAGTCTCAGGCTTTTTCTCTTTATGGTTTGCTTCCTGGCCTATCTTGGTGCAAGTGGCATGGAGATTACCCGTCGTATTTGCGGAGGCGGTGGAGACGATTACTCCTACTACTCCACCGATGACGAAACAATCTGGCAGAGCAATCAACGTGAGGAGCCCACGAAGAGGGAGTCAGCGTGGAGGAAGCACGGCAAGGACCGTCGGTGCATGAAGGTTCACTTCGCCGTCACCCGGACATTCACCACGGCCCCAACATATGAGCGGCCTCGTGAGGGCACCCCGCCCCCTGCTAAGACGAGTGGAGGTGATGATCGGCCTCACAAGAGGAAGAGGCGCAAGCACAAGAAGATCTATGTTGAAGACACAGATCCCCGGCCCCCTCTCCCCCGCATAAGACGGGTTGAGGTGTGGAAGAAGGACGAGCCTATGCTGGGCATCGATGGACGACCAGCCCTGCCTCGTAAAAGATCTTTACAGGGGGGTATGCTTGAACAGGAGGTACCTTTGGACCTTATGAGATTGGGGCAGTATTTGCAGCTCACGCCGTTCAATGATGAAATTAGGGACCTTTTCCCATTAAACCGGTATCAGACCTATGCACAGATTCTGGCTGAGAAAACCCGGGTTGTTATGACGCTCACCAAAATGTCTGAAGCCCAAGTCCTGAGCCTCAAAACAGCGTGTCGGAAGCTCATGGGCAAAGCTGTTCAACAGACGAGGGCCAAACAATTTCTCGATCAGGAAGATGAAAGAGATGTCAAGGATGCTGTTGCCTTGGCCACCATGCATGTTTCGGATGGGGATCAACGAACTCTTATTGGCAAGTTTGTGAGTTGGAAGATTAAACCGATGCATTTCATCCCTGAAAGCTCGCCCTCCACTATTGCTGGTTTGCTGGGAATCGATGAGTACACTGTTGAAAAGGTGAGATCCATTCTCCTGGACTATTTCAGTTTTCCCCCAGAAGCAGACCCGGCGCTGGGATGGCACTTCGACGTGACAGGTGGACAGAATGACATTGTCCCTATTTGGGCGAACTCCCTCGGGCTTATTGGTGGGGGTGGGGAACATGACGATGAGTCTGTTACTTCGGATTCCTCTGCCTTTCACATGCTCAGCCGATGTAGGGATGCCCAAACAGCTTTTGATGAGGCTATTCAACTGCAAAGCACGCTGAGAAAACGGAATCGAAGATTGGCCAAACATTTGCAGAAGCAACAGGAAGTCATTGAGGAACAAAAGGCTACTATTTGCAGGCTTAGGCACACCCTCTCGCAGCTTCTGCCCACTGCTGGAACTGAAA